ATTTTTAAAAGAGTGTAACAATAATTGATTGTAGGGATCTATTGGTCTTTCAGTGTGATCTATTGTACCTGGGGAGAAATGGCAGCAGGAATGAGGAAAAGATAGACAAGAAGATAAGAGCTGGGTTAGGTGGTAGCTCATCTGCCTGCTTGGTGAGATGACCCCCCCTGAATAATAATAGTAGGGGACTTTATACCTTTATAAAGTTGTAAGGCACAAGGTTGTCTAGCGACTAATTGTCCTCTCACATATGATCAATTTTAGCTTTAGCAGCTCCCAACAATTGTTAAGACATTAAAATGGTACACATTTAGAAGAATAAGATGAGAGGTACTCATCCGTGGTTTTTGTATTGCACATTGCTATCTTCAGTGTAGTTGCTTGTTACAGATATTAACATACAGAATTAGAGTGAAAATTTTAAACATTAGCTGCTATTTTGAAAAAGCTGATGGAAATTAGTACTATAATCATCTCAGCTATCTTGCATTTCCCCCCTTTTTCCCTTTTTTTCTCCTTTTCCTCATCTTCATTGTTTATTCCTTATGTGCAGTTTCTTTTGTTTCACTATATCTGTTATACCTTTAAAATTTATTTTTTCAGGTTCTTACACTAAGGAGACAATGCAGTATTTCATATGTGGGTCCGATTTATTCCATACAACTTTAAAAAAAAAAAAAAAGGCCAAATCTTCTATACAACTATCTCTATCTTTCTGTTGGCTTCAGTAAGTCACTCAGCAAACTTCAGAGGTTTTAGGTCAATGTGTTCCCTTAATAACCCCTTGGTATCTGAGAATGTTTTCCAGTTGCCTTCATACACAAATGTATACTAACTTGGCAGACTATATAATTCTTGGCTCAAAATTTTCCTTTAAAACGCTGTAGATATGGGGCTGGCCAGATAGTTCATCGGACTAAAGTGCCTTGTTAGGCAAGTAGGGGACTTGAGTTCTGTCCCCATGTGTGTTGGCCCCACCCCTGGGGCATACTGAGACAGCGAATGAGACTGGGCACAGTAGCACCGGCATGTAAATTATATGCATGTAATCCCCGTGCTTGGGAGGCGAAAAACAGGAGGTTCACTATGTCTGATCTGTGCAGTGAGACCCTGTAGACCCTGTACTAAACACATTAAAACAAAAAACAAACTGTAGGTGTGGTTCTGTTGTCTTCTGGCATTTAGAATTTAAAGAGAAAAATCTGAGATTAGGCTGACTTTTGGCCATTTATAAGTAACCTGCTTGCTTTGTCTGGATACTTGGAGAATTTTTTTCTTTTTGTTTTCTTTTCTTTTTTTTTGGTGGAACCGGGGATTGAACTCAGGTCCTTGAGCTTGCCAGGCAGGTGCTTATTCTACTGAGCCATCGTCCCAGCCCGAGAATTTTTTTCTTAATCATTGAAATTTTAAAAAGTCACAAGGATTTAAAAAATAGTCACAAAGATATGTCTAGGTGTTGCTTTCTTCTCCTTCCATCTTATTTTTTTAATTTTTTTTTTTTTTTTTCCTTTTTGAGACAGGGTCTCTCTGTCTAGACAGGCTGGCCTTGAACTTGCAGCTGTCCTGTCTCAGGCTGGTCTTGAATTCACTTTGTAGCCCAG